TAAATATGCATGGAACTTAGGGTGCTACATAGAGAAGAAAACCAAATGGAAGACTGATACTAGAGGAACTTGATTAGACAGTATGTATTCCTCCATTATAGATGTTAAACTGATATTTCCTCATGTCAGCAATAAAGGAAGTCTATATGTAAGCAAGTGTATTTAACTGGGCTAGGCTTTAAGGTTTAAAAATATTACTAAAAACAATTTTCTTTTTATCTTTGTGTACATGTCAGCTATGCCTGTTACTTTAAAATGTTATATCCAGGAGGCATAACTGATAAAGAAAGCATTCTAAAATAGGTTTTGGTCATAAGCCAAAAAGAGGATTTAAATATTTACCTAAAATACTGATACTGCAGGCATGGCGGTATATACAAATTATGTACTTTGCAATGGGCACAGGCTCCTCTAAACATTTTGGGGGGTTGTTTTGGGCAAAAAGCCAATAGCAAAATGGCTTAGAATCCTGAATAAGGTAGAGATGGGGAGAGGGGTGACAAATTACTATAATTCTGGATTCCTACAATTAAGGAAGACAAATTTCCCTACTTGGATTCTTTGGATGAGGACTGGCTTTGTTTACTTTTAACTGTTCCAGTTCAAAGAGAACAACTACATGAAAGAATTTCTGTGCTGCATGAACAAGTCTGTCCAATCACTCATGGCAGATGAAATTTCCTGTGTTTGTTTTTAACAGGCCTGTCTTGGTTACAAAAGTGCATCTCCATTTCCCCAGAGGACGTGTTAATCAAGGTAGATTGAAGGCATCCAGAATAAACTCATTTATCCAGGTGGCAGAAAATGCATGAGTTAGGTGTATGCACCCTGGACTTAGGCTGCCTGGGCTGAGGCCTGGTTCTGCAGCCCCACAGCGATACCACATTGCCAGTCATCACAGGAGGCAGTACTGTTATCATCCCTACTTTATCGACCAGAGAGGCCGAGACACTGGGAGGGACTATGCCTGGTGTTTTACCTAGTATCTAGCACAGAGCTACTACTCAGTAGAAACTGGCTATTTTTGTCAGAATCCTTGGAGGCCGCAGTGTGATGGCTGTAGAGGTCACTTCCTAGTGCTGTCTGGGAGGCAGGTTCTGTACTACATTTGTGTGCAAGGCTTGCCACCTGTGATTCAGTGAGACTATACTGAAGGTCTTACAGCTAGGGTTCAGTCATGTAGGGTCACCAAGTAAATGTTTGCTCTGGGTCTGGCTCCATTCTTTTTTACTGTTTGTTGAAAATTTGTTAGCTCTACTTGGTGTCCTACCTTAAACCAAGGATGGAGTTATCTTCTCAGAGCTGATTATCTGGTGTCAATGCCAGAGAGCTTGAACCTTCTGGTCTTTGACATTTATCTGTAAGCATTTGTGATGATTTGGTTGATAACCCTGTTTACTGGCCTCTGTAGGGCCAAGGGTGACACCTTTGATCTCTTCTGTTTCCTGCCTAACATAAGAGCAGGCCCTTAGAGACTATGAGGTTGGGTTCTCTTGCTGCAAAAATTAATAGAGAGGAAGAGGTATGGACTCTAATTAAGAAACCACTTTGCTTTACTTTACATGAAAATTTCTAAAATAATGCTGGGGAAGCATCTATTTTTCTTTAAAATTTTAAGAGACATCTAATTTATTTTCAAATGCTACATTAAACATATTTTATTACTTTTTAAAGAAAATTAACCTGTTTCAAGACAAGAAATTTGAATGCTTAGTATTATATTTAATCAACAGAGAATTTGTTTCATATATTATGATTGTTATGAATATCTCTAAACATAGAATCATTGCTGTTTTAAAATCATTTCTACCAAAGTGCAATTCATATTAATTCCACCAATTTTTGCTTTGTATAAAAGATTTTATTTGCATCATACTGCAGTAGCTTGCAGCTGAATGGAAAATTTTAGTGATAAGAAATAGCTCAAGTACATGCCTAATAACTTAAGAGAAAAAATAAAAAATCAAGAAGGGATAGCCATATAAAGTGCATAAAATATCACATTCAAAGAGGAAATATTTGAGCTTATTCAATATCACATTTATATTCCTTCCCCTTGGGCTCCCCTATTTGTGTCATTTTATTAAAATTGCAATTTACATACATTCTGATAATTTATGAAAAGAGTCAGAAATGAAAGTTGGTTAATGAGACCTTGCTCTGTAAACCTGCAAACTCTTGCTAAACATAGTCTAAATGATGAGCAGTTATGAATTTGACAGCTATAAGGCAATTGAAAATTTCCTGTGATAATATTAGAAACCAGGATAGGGAAGTAGAGCATATGGTGGCATCGTTAGAACAGCTGAGCCAGATTCAGGTCATGTGTGTGTGTTTGTGTACATGCTAACACATGGTTCTGTCTTTAATGTTTATTCTATTCTGTTCTATTTACCTCTTACTGTTGCAGCCCAGTGACTCTTCCTCCTCCACTAGCTCTCTCTCCTCCTAGTTTAGGTGCTAAGGTGCAGGCAGATGCACCTAGCTATGGGCCATCCTGGCCAAATCTGGCCGTGCTCAACATCAGCCCCCTCTCTAGGGGATCAGAAGGGTAGGCCAGTAGTTCTAAAATATGGTTGTACCACCAGCAGCGTCAGCATTTCCTGGAAAGTGGTGGAAATGCAAACTCTCAGGCTTCCACTTTCAGTTTCCTGGATCAGAACCTTGGGCAGCTGCCCAGTAAGCTGAGGTTTAAGCACCTTTCCAGGTGTTTCTGATGCTTACTCAGGCTGGAGAGCCATTAGTTTTTTGTTCTTGCCGCCCTCTGCCTGCCCTGACTTTCTGGTGTCTCCTTATCTATGCACTGTAGTTTTCTCACTTTGATTTCCTTCTTGATGGTCTTGGGTCTCCCTAAGTTTCTGCTCATTTCATATTTACATTCTACTTGTTAACTTTTTGCCCATAGAACGAAGCTCTATCAGTTATTTTCTTTAAATACTGGGTCACAGTCCTGTTGATATTCCTCTCCTTTCCTGAGTGGTGGCCAAGTATGACACTGAATCAAATGAGCCATTTGGAGGCAGTCCCCATGGAGTGTCTCTGTGACCTGGCAGCACCATGCTGCGCCCCAAGGAAGCCCAAGGTAACGCTGACCAAGGTTGACCTCATGCACCTCTCCTTGGACTCTGTGTCGGTGTTATTATTCTTTGTAATTAGACTCTGTCCTATAACATGGATCTAAACCATCCAAAGTAGCATTATTCTACTTTCTTGTCACTGCTGAACCAGATATTAAGATGCTACATAGATTATGACACCTATTGGAAGCCAACTGCTGTCTTTGGAAAGAACTACAGAAGAGACAGGATGATACATGCTGCTGATTTGGGGATAACTTCATGTAAGAAAGAAATAATAGAGAAGAAGTTATATTTGATTACTTTAGAAAGATCTTGACATCTGTAACTTGTGTTGTGAATAATTTATACGAGAGGGCATTTCATACGTTTGTGGGTGGTGGCATCCTCTAACCTCTGCTTTCCAAGCCCTCATTTTACCATGCATGGATCCATTGTACTGAATTTTATTTTCCAGAAACCTCAATACAGCACTATCTTACTAACAATTTACAGGAGATCTGTTGCTATAGAGTTTAATGCAATATGTGCACTCATCTGTAGGAGCCCACGGGTAACCCACTGTGAAAGAGATTGCAGGCCACCTTTTACATGGGTAGAAAATAATTCAACAAGCATTTGTAAACACTCTCTATTCACCTTTAGTCAAAGCCCTTTTCTGTGTTTAGCAGTATTCATACTACTTGGAGAAGTCCTTTTTCTTTGAATTTGGTTTAATGCATAGCCACTTGGCCTACTTTAAGCATGAGCTTTCTTGTATTAAATGTGTGAGGCCTGCTTATGTCTTTCGCCTTATCAAATGGATGCAAATTATTTATGAATTCCTAACAAAAACATTTATGGCTATGGCTATCTGCATTTAATTTTTCCTGAATGACTTATTTAATCCTATTATATGCTAAGCCCTGTAGTAGATGCTGGAATAACAATCTTTCTTCTGCAAGAATCTTCTTGGAAGTCATTTTGCAGTTAGGTAAATCCTTTCCTGGCAGATGAGGTAGCTATGGATTTGGAACTTCAGAGGGGCTGCCTGATCACCAAGATGCATGGGTTTTGGGAAGGAAATGTGATTTGTCTAAATTATTGTTATCTTCTGGGAAATGAAAATGAGAACCCATGTCACAAAAACATTTAAATAAAGATAAAAAAAACAAGGGCAGGGCATGTAGCTCAGCAGCACAGTGTCTGCCTGGTATGCACAAGGGCCTGAGTTCAAGTCCTGGTACCTCTCTTCCCCCCACACATACACACACAAGGATGCAACACTTTGTAATAGGTTTTCCCAATTGGCACCAGCTATCCATTTTTGACTCATCATCTGTTACCTCTATACTTCAGGCTTATAGCAATCAGTTTCCAGGCATTGTGTATTAGAGGGTCCCTGTCTGAGCCTTGGCTTTCTTTTCCTGTGAGAAAATATCTAGCTTGCATCCATAGGACTTCCTTAGATAAACATATAATTCCATATCCAAACATGTTTATGCTTATCCTATATTCCTATTTCTGTTTTAGGTACTATGAAGAATTAAAACAAGGCCAATTTATTTTCTCCTTGGTATTATTTTTCTTTTTCTCTACTAGACAGTAAATATCTTGGGAACAAGACATGTCTTATTTTTATAAACACTATAGCACTTTGTACTGTACTCCAATATTATTGAATGGAAAAATTAAGAGATGAATAAACACGTTCTTAGGGATTGACTGTGAATAGAAAACATTTTAAGGTTTCCATGGCTCTCGGAAAAGTCAAATATAGTTGGTGCCTTCATAGCATTTCGCCTTATGCATGCAGGTCATCTTAGCTGTGGGGTCAGGTCTAGTTGAGAGTTCCCATTTTACTCTTGGTCAAGTCAGCAGTACTCACAACCGAACAATGCAGCCGACCTCGTCTCCATTTCCATTGCTAACAGCGCCACTCACCTGATCTGAAGCCAAGTGAGCATAGGGGTCGTTCCTCCTCCGAACACCCAGACGGTGAAGAACACGAGGAGCAACGTGGTGGTAAACATCATCTGTTTGGGCTGAGACTCTGTGTTCCGGATGGCTAAGGCAAATGCGATCGCTCCCCTCAAACCTTACAAGGAAACCAAAAGGAGAAAGTAAGTGTTTTTCACACTTCCTTCTTTTCAGCATAGGTAACCTTACAATTTACTAACACAGTTACCTTTTAATTAAACTTTCTGTTTGAAGGTTACAGATTCACACGGAGTCATAAGAAATAACACTGAGCGAAATACTAAGTACCCTTCCCTCAGCTTCTCCCAGGGGTGCCATCTTGTAAAGCAGTAACATCATATTTCACCTAGAAGACTGACATTTATACTTTCAAGCCCGGGATACAGCTCAGTGACATAAGCGCTTGCCTAGCAAGGGGTAGGTCCCGAGTTCAATCCCTGGTACCACAAAAAAGAAAAAAAGTGTTCATACTTTCAAAATATGAAGCATTTCCATCATCTCAAGAACCCCTCTGAGAATTCTCCTCTTATCACCATACCCACTTCCCACCCCTGCACACCATCCTTAACTCTTGCAGTGGGGAGTCTGCTATCCATATCTGTGAGTTTTTCATTTCAAGCTTGCTATATAAATCGGATGCTACTGTACGGAACCTTTCGGAATTACTTCTGGGTTTTGCAGCCAGCATAATTTTCCAGATATTCAGGCCACTGAATTTATCAGTAGTGTGTCCCTTCATCATATGGATGGCGGACAGTTTGTTTCCCCGCCTACCTGTTGAAGGACACCTGGACCATTTCCAGCTTCTGGCAACTACAAAGGAGACTGCTAATATTTGCATATGGGGTTTTTGTACAAAAGTAAATGTTTGTATCTGTCTTAGATAAATGCCAAGAAGTACAATTACCAAGAAGTTTGGTATTTGTATGTTTAGTTTAAAAAAAAAAAATCACCAAACTTCTTTCCAGAGTAGCTGTACCATTTCATATTCTCATGAGCAACACAAAAATCATCCAGTTTCTTTGGATCCTTGCTAGATTTCGTGTTGTCACTTATTTTTTTTTTTTAGTTTTATCATTCTAGTAGCAAAGTGGTGCTATAGTTTATTGTGGCTTTTATTTTTATTTTCCAGTGGCTAGAGGTTTTAATCTTAACGCATTATCCATATATTCTCTTTTGTGAAATGGGTCTTCACATCTTTTTCCCATGCAAAAAAAAAATTAGATTATTAGATTTTTCTATTGCTTTTTTGAGAGTTCTTTATTATAGAGATCAGCCTTTTGTTAGCTGGCTTGTAAATATTTTCTTCCACTCTTAGCTTTTCTTATCTTCTTAAGATTCAAAGATCTTTCATGTTTTCTAAAAGTTACATTTAAATCCACATTTATTTTGAGTTCACTTTTTATAAAGTGAGAAGTTTAGGTTGAGGTTTTTATTTTATTTTACTTTTTTATTGTGTATGGAGATGGACTACTTCATTGAATTGTTTCTGGGCCTTTGTCAAAAACCAGTTGAATAGTTGTAGGGTCTATTTCTGAAAACATCATTTTGGTTCATTGATCTATATACCTATTCTTCCTAATAGCTCATTCTCAATTATTATGGCCCACATAATAAGCTTCACTACTGGGTATAATGAGTTTTCCTACCCTGATTTTTTGCTTTCAAAACTGTATCTATTCTAGTTTTGTTGTCTTTACACAAAATGTTAGAACAATACTGTATATACGTACAAAAACATCAGACAAGAAGGAAAACTAAGCTCAGGGACTACTGTAAATTATTAATTAATTAAATAACATTTGCAAACTATTCCAGATGGCTGACATATCTTTATAATCTCTGTGATCATAAACTACCCTATTAAAACCCGCTTTTTCCTTGTTTTACCTTTTCCTCCTTAATAACCATGTGCTAATTGAATTTTTATGACTGCATATTAAATACATTTATAAGTGGTAGTACAGATTAAATGCCAGGACTCTAACGTGTGATGATATTAATAAATATACAAATGTATACTTTGAAGAAGAACAAATAAAAGCACAGGTAGGAAAGGAAAGGAGGTAAGGTGAGGGTTTCTCTTGGGTGACCCAAGACCTGCGAGATGTTTATAGTCCTTACCATGTGTAACAGGACAAAGAAAGGTTGATAATGACAGCAAGTATAAGTCAAGGAAGTAATTATTTACTATCATAGGAAAGTTTGGAGCAGATGCATAAAATTTCAGCAGTCTATTTTTATAATGTTTACGGTCACACTAGGTTTCTAAATTTTATGTCTATTCATGCTTTTAAAACAATTTTAAAAACTAAATACATAGTAGGATGAAGAAGATTATAATCATCCTGGCTTTTATTCTTATGTTCCCAACTTAGGGTATAATGCTCCTTTCTTATCTCCATGCCAAGAATATACAAGAGACAAGTCGCAGAACACAAGATCCAGAGGATTAGACTTGAGAGATTTAATACATTTTGCCTGAAACAAGGGAGCCTCTGAAAGAGAGAGGAACATGCATTCTGATTATAAAATACCTTCAAGGAAAAAAATGTAATGGAAGAAGGAAATTATTCTAAATCTCCATGTAGACGAGGAAATGGCCTGAAGATAAGGAAGATAGCATTTGAAGTAGATATTAATAAGAAAAAGTTCCATCAGAAAGTCTGAATGCTTAAGATGGCTGTACACCAGAACAGGGCCCCTCCAGAGGTATTCATGCATTCAGACCCTGCAGGGAATGAGGGGGTGGGGATATTAATAACTGCACACTGGGGACTATTTTTATAATGTTCTTTTCAGGAAATACAAGTGGTGTCATTAGGGAATGAGAACTCAAGGAAACAGTTTTGCAACAGACTCCTGCATCTAAGGAGAGGATTAATAGGTCAAGGTAAGGCTTCCAGCAGGGTTTAATCACTGTGCAAACCTGAGATAGGAGATAATCTTTTCATTTTCTCTCTTCCTCTAGCTCATATTGTTAGAAATGTCCGGAAAGCAGCACACCTGCAAATTAGGTGACATTAGGCGCATCAGAGGAAGAGTCACTGAGTATTTGTTTTTCTTGTCATCAATATTCATAGTTGGGCTTTTTGAGTTTGAAGGGGAAAAAAAGTTAGAAAATAGAATATGAATTAAAACAAATTAGATGGTGCTTCTTGTAGAGTTATGCTGGATATTAAGGGCAAGGTTCTAAGCAGTCATTAATCTTCCTAAGTATGCTCAATAATGTATAGTTATTATATTAAACTTGTGTAATTATGCTCACAAATCTAAATTGTCTATACATGAGCAGCTCATGGCTTAAAAATATACTCAAAATATATTTGTTAGTATGACTTCTAAAAATACACGCATCATGCCAACTAAAAACCTATATTTATAGGAGATGCAATGCACAGATTTCTGAAATACATGGAAAAATACAGGTTAGAGCCTTGTGGGAAGTGATGAGGCACTGTTAATTAGAGTCAAACTATCAGATGGAGTCAAAAGGATGACTTCCGGATGTGATGGCCAACTAGGAAAACTCAGAAACAGGTTGTGTAGAGAAGAGGTCATCTGCCTGTAGCCAGGTCCCACGTGGCCACAGAGCACCTGCCATAGGTGAGGTGGTGGTAATGCTAGGAGTAAGGAAATGACAACAGGCAGTTGCTGTGTGTGGACAAAGGGAGATTAATTGAGAGCTCCAGCTAAGAACTACTGCCAACTTTCCACCTATCCCTTAAGACTCTGCAAGTAGCTCACCACACACTTGGTAACTAGACAAATGTCAAATCAATGACCATTCAGTGCTTCGTTTAATACATATATATTGATTTCTTGCTATGTGGAGGCTTTGTGCATACTGATCCTATCTTTTTAATACCATGAATTTAGGTGATAGACTTCAGAATTGAAACAAATTATTAGGCTATCAGCAAAATACTTACAAATGAAATACCAATATTGATTTATGATTTTCTTGTCAATAAAACATTTCCAAAGAACATGTACCATTTTACCCAGAAACTTAGAAAACACAGAATTTGTCAAAACTTGGTTTTGTTTTGTTTTCTGAGTACTTTGACCTTTTCATTTATCTTTCTTTTTCTCTCTGTTTTGGCCAACTAACCAAAGTAATACTGTATTTCTGAGAGTTGATAGACCATAATATTTCCATTTAAGTGGGTTTACTTTGCAGAGATTTTGACATATTTCATATCCCCAGTTGGAGAGTCAGCATCATCTAGGGGGATAAACGAATTACCTACAATTAAATGTGGTTTCATTTAAAATTGTACTCTAAGGGTTTCTTATGTTAATTGTGTTGATGTTCTATTCATAACAAGAGAAGACTATTGAACCAAGGAAAGCTTTCTAGCAAGGACCCCTGCTGCAAACAATGCAAAGTTTCCTGTTTAAAGAGCAAAAGTGAAGCTTTTAATCAATTGCAAATTTGCAAATGGATTCTGAATGGGTGAAAGTCCGAATATAAACACCTCACATCCTAGGGTATTCTTATTTAAGGTACAAAGTAATAGGGTAACACTATAAACATTTCTTGAGCACTCACTGAGTGCTAACTTTATCCAAGACACAGAGTGCGAGTGCACAGTGAGCAAGGTTGGGCTCCTTTGTCCCCCTTTATCCTGAGTGCACAGTCCTGCAGAAATGACTCTCAAAAGGCCAACTATGATCAGGTGTAGCAGAGGTGCAGAGGAGGATGCTCTGGAAGTATAGACTGATGACGAAGGTAGTTGGCTTTCCCTCATGAAGGCTGTCGCAGTTATTTTTCTTGTGGCTGAGACCAAACACTAGACAACCAAAGTTAAAGGAGGAAAGGTTTATTTAGCTCACAGTTGGTAGCAGTTTCAGTCCATAGTTGGCTGGCTCCAAGCCAGGGTGGCACAGCAGAGGGTCATCACAGAGGAGAAACAGTTCATGGCAGGTGGCAGCCAGAGAAGTAGCAAAGAAACGAAGCAGCAAGTGACCACAGCAGCCCTCTTTTTGCCCTTTACCCAGGCTCCACACCCTTAGGCAAGTAGTACTAACACCCAGGACAGGCCTTTCCATTGTCCACATCCAGAACCATTGCCAAACCAATCAGTGGATAATTTGTAACCTCACACCCTTGAT